ACTTGGTGCCAATTAAATAACATGCATAGAAACAGAAAAGCCTGCCTGTATAACTTTTGTATTGTGTCACAAGCCTTTTGACTTGGAGTTTTATATAATAATCCATGTGCCTCAATACTAAACTTTTAACTAAATGGGAATTGTCTTAAATAGAAATTTGTCTTGGAATTAATGGATTGGAGGAATTATCATTGAAATAATTGTTTCTAAACTTTTAACTACATGGTAATTGTCTTAAATAGGAATTGGTCTTGGAATTAATGGGTGGAGGAACTAACATTAAGGATAAATAATTGTATCAATGTAATTAAACAACAGGAGTAAGGTGGGGATATGCGACTTCCACTTTATTTACAACTTACAAACCTACTTACTGTTATGAAATATTCCAGCACTCAATTAATAACTGCCTTTGAGGATTTGAAGAACAAATTGGAACAAATGCAAAATCAGATTCTTCGCCTTGACTGGCATTGAAAAAAACAACCCTAAGAGTTACTTTTATACTGAACTGGACAACTGTGCATGTCTCATGAGATACAAATTTCCAACTCAAGTTTCAACAACATTCTTAGACTTTCATAGATGTCTCAGATAAACTTTGAGCCACGAAGCTTAAAATTCAGCAGGGTTTTGTTTAATTTACATTGAGGGAAAAACTCAAGGATTTTGATGATTTACTAGACTGGTGCCCTTGTGAAGATACAATAGTTGTGTTTTGATTAGCAGTGGAATATCATTGCTGGGCTGTCCATATGAGTAAGACTGGAATTTTTAATAGTCTTGATTATCTCTGCCATTCTGGCTTTATGGATAGTGATCACTTCCTTCTTTGTCCTGCTCTAACAAAGAATTCTCTACTTAAACATTATTGGGAAGCTCGAAATAACATGAGACTGTCTTCACACTATTTTTAACTTTAGTAATTTAAATTTAGCATTTTAAACTTTAGTAATTTAAATCCTGGCTTGGCTATTGAATTCTAATTTTATGCTTATATGCTATATTTTAATATTGTTTTATTATCACCTAAGGACAAATTTTCAAAGGTTTTTCCTTTTTAAGTATATAGTTTACGAAATTTAACTCATAATATCCTAAAATATGATTTCAACTAACAAGGAATAAATAACATTTTTATGACTTGAGTATCAAGTATAATAACTGAAATTCAAATATTTCTTATTTGTAACATATTTTACTTGTATTCACTATCAAACATGCCAAACTTGAATAACACTGAATCTTGAAGGATCTTAATATCCAGTACTGTAAGCCTGAATACAGATGATACTGTAAGCAGCTTCTGTTTTATTACTTGATAAATACAAAGTTCTAAGATTGAAAACGAGGAAAAAAAAAAAAAAAGATTAAAAACCTAGGAATTGAAATACCACAACATATAAGGTAGAGTTAAATAAGCACGTAACTAAAAAAATAAGAAAACTGTAGCATGTTTTTCTTTAGTACTACTACTTTAATACATTTTATTACCTGTTACAACAAGTTTGATTGTTATGGCATTTGGATTTACAAAGTAGATCAGCTGATTTGCACAAACAGATGTTCGTAGTACACTTTTTTTAACAGCTGCATTTTCTAAGTCCTTGTACCCCAACTAAAGAAATTTTTTTTTTTTTTTTTTTTACTATTTCACATACACTTACTTCTTCTATACCAACTTCTTCAATGTTCAAAAAATTTTTCTTTACAAAAAATAAACTGCTTTCCTGTTTACAACGATTTTAATTTACCGAACTTACTATCAAAAACATAAAAACTCATCATCTTAAATATCTCTAATAACGGCTATTATTGATTTTGGATCCATTTTTGATCTATCAATATCAGGTACTTTTATTTTAACATTTTTCCAAAAGTATTTGTCCAAATGTAGGTTTCGGAAAGTTTTTAGTAGACACAGTCTTCATCTTCTTTGCCTGCTTCTGAAGTCCTTCCTTAACTGTCTCTCGAAACACTTTCACATTTTGAGTTTTCTTGATAATTGCACCCGTTGTGTCAGAGCATATATCTGGTTCTTTCATTTCAATTCAAACTTCAGTATCTGCTTCCATCGTTATGCATGATTATTTTTCATATGCATTATTATTATCTTGCGATTCTAAATCAACTGTTGATTCGAAATTAGTGCCCCCATTTTCTGTATTAACCACACATTCATTAGTAATACATACTTATAACATTTTTCTAAATCCTGTTCAGTGGTCATGTTACTAATCAAATTATGTGGCAAAACTGAGTTAGCAAGTCCTAGCTTCATAGGACAACTTTGCAGGACATCACAGGATAGCTTCGTTAAGATGAACATTTGATTCCCTCCTGATATGCTTTGTTTTTTATTCTTTGAACAAATTTTAATCCTTCTGACCAATTTCCTATCTTATTTGTTTCCAACATGTTCTCAACATCTTGGTTCACCCGTTCGACAGAACTTTGTGACTGACTGTGTCTCGGTTTTCAGTGAGCTATTTTTATATCACTCCACATTTCACATAAACTGTTTATGATTTGATTTGGTTGCAAAATTCCCTCGTATTATCAGAATGAAGAATGTTCAGGGCTCCAAAAGCTATGAAAATATCCAGAAAGTTGACTTGGCATCGAGAATTCATTTCACTATGCACAACTGATTTAATTACAATCCCCTCTTTCACAGTTTTTTGTTTCTTCTTCTGACATGGTTCGCATAGTCTTAAATATGTGAAGATAGGTTCTACTGTTACATTCTTGTACTTACGATTCGTCAGTTCTTTAATCATGCAAGTTCTTTCACCATGGCCAATTGCAATATGAGTGCTGTGTTGAAGACTTCATCAGTTGTAACATAATATAGGATTTTTGCAAATAGTGATATTATAAGTTTGTCCTTTCCTCCAATTAGAATACGACAGCGTTTCAACCTTCTGTAATGAACTGTTTGTTTCTCCATCACACATTTCTCACTTGTTAAATAAAAGCAGTTATCAGGCTTATTTTTTACAAATTCAGACAAAATGTCATAATCTTTTTCCGCATAACATCACTCATTTCCCATCAGCAAAATAAAAAAAAGCAAAGTATGTAAAAATGGAAACAAACTTCAGGGAAAGTGCAGAATCACCCCTGCTTAGCGCATTTCTCAAAATCGCCAACTTGAAAATAACAAGTCTAAGAATTGCACAAACTCAGTGTCCATGTACACAACAACCTATTTTTGCTTAAAATAACATCAGAGAATTACACAAACTTGGCACTACGCACTCCCTTGACTTTGTCCATGTGCACATCGATAAGTGGGCGATTCTGCACTTGTGGACTAACTTCTTCTTTTTTAGATCGTAGCTGCTTACACTTATTTAAATTATGTCCAAGTTAGACTGCGAATGGTGCAAATAAGGAGAGGCAGGAACAGAAAAGTGTCATGACGGAATTTGTGTGCGGAGGCTTATTCAAGGTTGATTTAAATCCCTCGTTTCAGGATTTTACCAGAAGGCATTGGTAACTCCTCGGTTTTACCTCAAAGGCTGAAGTGGAATCATATTAAAGCATACTTCGAGCTTTTAACAAGCTACTTTGGTAAAAGCTAGGTTTTACTGGTAAAACCTAGGATTTACCAGACTTTAGGATCTTACAGTAACATATCTCCATTCATACTGCGTATAATATTTTACTTGTAAAATGTATACGATTCTCTTATATTCTTATATATATTGATTCAAATAATGAATAAAACTTAAATGCAATAATGAAAAACAAGTGCAAATGATTTTTTAAAAAGTACGTAGCTTTTTCATAATATTTATTAAATTATAAAATGAACAAATATAATTTTTTTCACAATTTTTATTTATTAAATTATAAAATGAACAAATATCATTATTTCACAATTCACAAAATTACACATATATACAATAGTTAATATATATTATTAGTAATCTTCCTTTTACTTACTGTTTATTCCTAACCTACTTTTTTTTTTTTTTTTTTTATTACAGATACTTTAATAATCCCATTAAAATATTCTCGTGCTTTCATGAAAAGCAGTATTCAGCAGAATTACTAGATTTTATTTTAACACCAACGAAAGTTGTTAATGTTATCAAAAACAGCAGTATAATTAATTATCAGTTATGTTATGATCATGTTATCAAAAACAGCAGTAATATTAAAGAATATGAAGATTTAAAAATTTATTAGAACACTGCTCGTATTTTGTTATACTTCTAACTCGGAAAAAAAAAAATCTTCCGGATTCTACAATTCTGAAGTTTTAGTTACATGCTCCATTACACAACGCATTTGTAATCTAAGTTTGTTTTATTTGGTTATTAATGCAGTTATATGTAATCATGTCGAAACATTTATCAATACGTAATGGATGTAGTTACCAAATAATTTTTTGCCATCGGTGTTTGTTTACATCATGGTATTAAGGATTTTCTATAAACTAAACTTCTCGAAATTCACATAAAAAAGTGGAAAACAGCCAATTATAGTAACCCAGACAAATAGTTTGTGACGTATTGTTGCCACCAGTCACGTGAGACCCGCTAACTTCCGTAAACCGTCAGCGTTTGTAGTCGCATAATTGTAACGGACTTGAAAAAAAATACTTTTATCTCCAGCTCGCGAGACAGTGTATATCGGAAATTCTAAAGATATGCTTAATTTAACATTATTTTGCGATATTGCTCTTGAACTGAATTTTATGGTTTAAGTGCAAAGAACATGATATTTAATAAATAAAGGTAACACTCAAAACGTTAAAAAAACGCCCCTTTAGACGTAATTTAAAATCTGAAAAATTTCAGATTTTTTTTTTTAAGAAAATTATTGCAAAGTCCATAATCAGCTAATAAAGTCTTTAAAGTCCACAATAGTCTAATGCTTTTCCAAATGCTCTATTTTCTACTAGTTCCTTTTATATGATGAGTAGACACAGTTATATAGTTGGTATAGTGACAGTTAGTATAGTGAGAGATGTTTTTTCTTTTCTGAATGGCAACATGCTCACAGCAAAATAATGAAAGCGCGCGTGAAATATATAGTATAAAATGGACAATTATTATACATTATGCTTTGTTTAAGATTTATGATGTATTTTTGTTTTTGAAACATTAATGTGAAAGGTTCCCGTATTAAATATTGTGATATACAAACTACCTTATCCTGTGAAATTTAACGAGGCCTCTTTTGTTGACATGGTACGTAAACAACCAGAGCTCATAATAGCTAAATTTATAGTAATATGATCAGGAATAGAATAATTATAATTTCTGTGAATACTGTGAAGTACTGAAATTTTACAGCTTAACTTTTATTATTTTTCAGGATATCAGAAAGTATCTTACTTCCGCTAGAGCATCTGTGAATGCAGATTCATCAGAATTCAGAAATTCGAAGAAAACAGCTGGTTTGCAGGATGCTAAGGTGCAGAATTTATTTTAATTTTTTCATTCATGATGTTATCATTGACAGTAAATTTGAGTAAGATGCTTAGTGTTTTATAAAATTTACTAGCCTCCCTTTTAAAAGTTTTATTTCTGTTAGTATACATTATCTTTTACTCATATCTGTTACTCTGATTATCAAAAGTTATTTCTGTTTCAAACATTTTAAAAATAATGAAAAGTGGCTAGTATTTAACACGTTGACTGCAACAACTATTTTTGGAGTTTGATTACAAAATATATTCAAAATACTAATTATAACACATAACAGTAATACTAGTCACCAGAAAGCATAAAGAATGCATTCTTGGGGAAGAGAAGGGGCAGGTTCATGTTTAAGCTCATAGTTGGCACAAGTAGCAAAGTTCTCACTGCAAATTATTTGGTATTTCCTTAAACTCCCGTTATTTAAGAGCCAAAATTGTCATCAGCTTTTAATTAACAGAAAAGTTAAGAACTTTACATAGTGCCAAAATTGTCACCAGCTTTTAATTAACAGTAAAGTTAAGAGCTTTACATAGCAAACATATATACTTCATTTGTACAGTTTACAATTACCAGTTCTGCAACATATACTATTAAGCTATCTTGAAATTAGTCCTCTTGGCAACATCACCTGCTACGAATTATCTTATAGGTGGCAGTTAATATATTAATAGTAAAATTTCATTACGTTAACAGAAGGAAAATTGTTCACTGATCAATTTATCATGTAATGATTGTAATACTATGAATGAGACTTAAAATCCTGTTTGATTTAATAGACGTTTTACTCTTATTTTAGATATGTTTGTTATTAGGTTTAGTTATCTATTAGTGAGTATCTATGTTTCATTAAATTAATAAGTATCTAGTATTGAGTTATTGCTTTATACTCTAATATACGCCCTAATTTCACCAAATGTGGCAATATGTGTTCTGCGCTGGTTTTTGGTGTGATTGCGTGTTGTATGGCAACCCTGTTGACGTTGAAAAATCTTTCGCTGGAGCTCGTTGATTTGCCTCTGCGTCTGAGAAGATGGGAGGGAAAGATAAAATGGTAGTTGTTGAAGTTCGGCAAAAGGAAATATCATTGTAACTATCTTGTTGAGGGGTAGTGGGTATTTGGAAGTGTGGAAAGAGGGTCTAGGAGATTATTTTTAATGGCAGTGCATGATAGAAGTAGGGATTTGTGATTTTATTTATTTGTGAACCATAGTATAAATTTTCTGGATACTGTGTCTGGCTGTCATGTAAATACGATAGTGATTACGTGGCGGCATGTTAAAGGCGGTATGAAATTTATATTTCTGCTATTCGAAAACGCATTAATTCATGGTAAGTGCATTTTATTTTATCCTTGTTCTTATTTTGTAGAATGTTATGTTCATTGGTTCTTTAGTATGAATTATTGTCGTTATTGTTGTTTTTTTAAATTGTTTGAAATTTATTTTAGTTTATTTTGTTGTTTAATGTCTAGACTGTGCAATTCGTAGATGTTTTTTAAAGTTGAAACAGAACGCTCTGTACATGGTATTATTTGAAATTTATTGTTGTTATGTTATTTTATTAAAGCGAGGAGTGCGTAGATCGTAGATTCCTTCCTTGCCTAAATTGTGCAATTCGTAGAATTTTTTTTAAGTTTAAACAGGATGCTGTGTAATGGTATTCTTTGAAATTTATTGTTGTTATGTTAATTTATTAAAGCGAGGTGTGTGTAGTTAGTAGATTCGTTCGTTGCCTACATTGTGCCATTCGTAGATGTTTTTTTAAGTTAAAACATGTGGCTGTGTACATGGATTCTTGTCAAATATTTTTGGTTAGAAACTTTACGTTTTTGCTATCTAAATTTTTTGTTTTTGTTTCGGATTCTTAGCTAAATTGTGTGTTCAAAACCTAGTTTTTGCATGTGTGAAAACCGCGTTTTTGGAGACATTTTAGGCTAAAAGTTCGAAATGTAGACAAAAAATTTAGATAGTAATATGGCAGCGTAAAGTTTCTCGCGAAAAATATTTGGCGAGAAATTTGGCGACTTGAGGGCGCATGTCAGAGTAGTTCTGTCCTTTTAAAATTTACTGACTATGCTAAATTAAAAATTAGCAAAGCTGTTAGTTTACTCATAAAATAGTAGAGTTATAAGCTTAAAAAAGAGACAAATGCTATTAAATATGGTGTATTAATTTGAGTGTATGTGGAATTCTAGTGGATCTCAAACCTGAAGATATAAAGCTCTTCGAATGTTTAAAAGAAAACAAGTGAAATATCTTATCTTCAGTGGCATAAAAATAAATGATATGTGACGAGCATGATCAAATTTAAAATCTTATCAAGCCTTTGTGAATTAGATATATAGTCTAAAGTCTTTAATCCGGACTTGTCGGGACTTCAGTGATTCCGAATTATCGATTTTTCTGGATTATAGATCATTAGTTTAAATCTGGTAAGATGGCATGCAGAAATTATAAAATTAAAAATATGAAACCGTAATTTATGAAATAAAGAACAATTATGATCTTGTTTAAGTTGCTTTGTGATGATACTTTCTCTTTAATTCTATAAACAGATATAATTTCTTGTTCAATTACAAAGTTCCACTGTTCAAATCCTATAATTGTTGTGTCGAGAATCCGACTAATTTGTCAATCGAAATTTTTTCATTTTCAATAACCTCTGTGTCACTTTCTTCACTGTCCGAAGCGAATTATAATGACGAAGAATTTGATTTAAATCATATCAAAGACGGAGTACAATGAGATGAAATATTACATTTAGTAAGGAATTATAAGCCTTATAAAATAAAAACATCTGCCCTGAAGATAAGGATAGTGCTGACAGATCAACTTCCAATTCATTGCGTTCTGCAACGTTCCCTCCCCCCGAAGAGCAGAGCAGCGTGAAATTGATAAACAGATTTCGGAATGGTTAGAGAAACAAAAGATATGCCTTTATCCATTTTTTGCAGCAATTCCACTTTTTGTTTGATGGACATCGAAACATACTTTTGCTTTTGGCAGCTCCAGCATCGGAAATTGTATTTGACATAATCGAAAGTTCAAGCTTACTTTTATAAAATTGCTCTAACAGTCTGCAAAAAATAATAAGCCGGATCCAATTAGAAGATTAAGGAACAATGCAATCTGCAACATTAACTGAAATAGATAATTAGATAATTTTAGCTTAGCTTATAACATCCGTTATACATTAAACGCGCATGCACACTCGCAAGCGTCTATGCGCATGCGTGAACGCATTGTGCGTTGATGCATGCGCAGAAAGTTTGTTATTTTGAGGTCCGGATCATTCCGTATTATGGGTGTCCGGATTAACGACTTTTACTGTAGTTAAATTCATAAATGTTCAGAGACAAAATAATTTGGCCATATTATATGAATATAATGATTGAAATAATAAAACATTTGGAACTACTCTTATATATGCCCTTGCTTGGTGAAAAATTTCTCGCCAAATATTTTTGGTGAAAAACTCCACAGTGCCATTTTACTATCTAAATTTTTTGTCTACATTTCGAACTTTAAGCCTAAAATGTCTCCAAAACTGCGGTTTTCGCACCTGCAAAAACCATGTTTTGAACCCACAATTTAAGCTAAAAATCCAAAACAAAAACAAAAAATTAGATAGCAAAAACATAAAGTTTCTAACGAAAAATATTTAACAAGAATCCATGTACGCAATGATATGTTTTAACTTAAAAAAATCACAGAATTGCACAATCTATGCAGTGAAGGAATCTACGAACTGCGCACACCTCTCTTAAATAAATTAACATAACAAGAAATTTCAAATAATACCATGTACACAGGGTTTGTGTACAACTTAAAAAAAATCTACGAATTGCACAATCTAGGCATTGTGCACTAATCAACAAAATAAACTAAAATAAATTACAAAAAATTCAAAGAACAGCCGTAACTACAGAAATTCATACTAAAAGAAGCAATGAACATGACATTCTACAAAATAAGAACAAGAAAATCAAATGCACTTACCCTAATGAATGCTTCTTCGAACAGCAAAAATATCGAGAGCATACAAAATCCAGCATACATTCGTAAATAAAATTTTGCCAGTCACACCACATCTGTGAACAAAAGTGTCACAATTTTGCAGTATCACACATCTTTCTGTGATTCAAAATTCCGAAGGTAATGATAAAAACTTCCTCCAAGGTTAACTTACCACACGAAAACCACAACCCAAATCTTAAAACTCCGCCTGCAGCCATATACTTTACCTGCAAATCCACACAAGTCTATCAAAAACGCCCTTCTTCGTACGACTTCTCAGATCAGCTCCACATTTCTGACATGCCAAATTCCGCTTCGGAAGTCCTGACTCCCACAGAAATTCCAAAAATACACTTTGATCTGCATAAACACACCTGTGAACAAAAGACTTGTTAACAACTCCAACATTATAGCTTTTAATACTAAATTTGTAAGGATCTTAAGTTTTACTAACGTTTATTTTATTTTAAATCTTTACTATCACTTCTTATTTTCTACTTCCGGCCAGAATTAAAAGCTTTATCTTATTTATGCAAATTTGTCTGGCGAACGCCAAGTACTCAAGTTGTGGCTTTTTGCCAAGCGAGAGAGAGGAAGGAGTTAGTCGAAGCAGGCCGCTTGCCTTAGCAGTTTTACTCGGTTGCTGGTTGCCTTCCAGGCCAGAGGTTTAATCCTCTTGATAATTTTAAACGTATTGTAGTGTTACGGCTTCCTGTTAATATACGGCCAATCTTCCACGTAGGCCCTTGTTTATTATTCCAAATTTAAGTTAGAGTTTAGTTAATATTTTTATATTCTTACGTTCAGACCACAAGTAGTTGGTCTCTGTATTCCGAAGTACGGAAATTATTGTAAAGAGTGAAAAATAAAGGGTTTCGTATACCCTTCTTGTGTATCTTGTCTACTTCCCACATTTATTGGACATAGCTTTAGTAAGCTCCCTGTTCCGACTCAGGTTCTGGAATGTTCCCCAAAC